CGAAAAAATGGTCCGATCGAGCGCAAAATTTTACCATAGATACTTTAGTGTCTTATTTCAGGAGTAAACTTTTTCTTTTCAACAAATATGCTTTCCTTCTGGCGATATTCAAAAAATCCTAGATAGATAACCGGTTTTTTATTTTAAAAACCTTAACACACCGAAAGTTGAAAACGAAAACGCTAAAAAAAAATGTTACTCCTGCCATATGGTCCGAAGTATCTTAAGCTCTTTAAGCTCGATCGGACCATTATTTCGAGGCGTCGAATGTGACCGGATTGAAGGGACTATCAAAAAAAATGCATAGTGAGAAAAACACATATTGTATACATGGTTCTGTTTGTCAGAGTATTTGTGGTGATACTTATATCTGCACGAAAAGTCATTGGGAAAATCCTTAAAATCAGTGATCACTAACACATACAGTTCAACTTTTAGACTATTACTCGTTTACAAATGAATTTTTGGGATGAAATGGCGTTAATACTCGTTTGTATTACTATTATCGTCGTTACATTCTTAACTACATTTGGGAACTTTTGGGAATTTAGGTGAATTCGATGAATTTTAGTGAATTCGGGTGAATTTTGAATTTAACGGACTAAATTCAACTGTTTTCCTCTTGAGATTTTACCACATTTTTTCCGACGAACATGTTACTTCGAAGAGAATTTGTGAATGAACTGCATGAAAGTGAAAATAATATTTTAGATTCGAAAGCTGGAAGCAGTCGGTCTAGGGCGTGGCAACAATCTTTTTTCAGACGTTGTTAATCGTAGTCCAGTCATCGAAATTTTAGGCCAACAGAACTTTCTCGAATGGATGCGATCTTTAAAATTTAATTCAAACATTTTGGAAAAGTAAGTATGGTCAAGATTTTGGTTTTAGTTTTTTCTACGCGAAAAAGTTAAATCATTTATGAAACTGTTTTTCAAAAGTCTTCGTATTAATTTTATCATATCGTATTTCACCGTACCGCAAAATGCGCTCGACATTTGTTCTATGGGTGATGATCCCGCGGCAATTATCTCTTGGTTATTGGCGTCTTTGTCTTACTTTTTTTATTCTGATTTCGGCTGCTATTTTATTGGGATTAAATATTTTGTTCATATATAAATACGCGACGAACGTGGCTACCGCATTAACTGGCATCATGAAAGCGAACATGGCAGCTAGTGTGATAGTGACGGGTTGAATGCAGGCATTCTCAAAATCTTTCGGTGTAAATACACTCATTTCAGCTTCCGTTGTAGTTGTCGTTGTCGTGGTGACGGCTAAATCAGAAGAGTGAACTCTTAATCAAATCTGATTCGAGATAAAATAAGATTTGTGCAATGAGTACATGTATTCCGACAAGAAACAACTTTTTCCATTACCGTTCGATGGCGTAACGTTAGGCTTTATTAAGCAGCATTCTTTGCATCCAGAAATGCATCCTTTAACACTTATCAGTTACGATTGTTCTTCTGTAATTACTTGTAAACGGCTCGCAAAAAGCTGATCTCCTTTTCTTTTATATGTCGATCGATAGAAAAGACTTTTAATTCCACGTTAAAAAGAAAACTTTTGATAAAGTACGTTGACGTTTAAAGTTTAATAATAGGCGTGTTACATCAGAATCGTATCTCGGCAACCATCACACAAAATCAAAAAAAAAAAACACTTTTGAGTCGATTTTCTCAAAACTCATTTTAATCAGTTCTGGTGGATCAAAAACCTCGGTTTTCTGGAAACCTTATTTCCAAGGGTTTTGGAGAAAAGTTTCGAGAGAGTAAAAGAAAGAAGACCTTGAGAAACCCTTAAAATCTGAGTCTCAAATGAATATGCTTAGTGCGTGAGGAGTTAGCCTAGACCAACTTCCTGGTGTAACACGCCTATTACCTTGAACACTTCGAGAAAAAAATTGATTCATCATTTGGCAGGGGAGGCTAACAATTCTTGAGTTCGTGTAATCTGACATTTTTCAGGTATTTTTGAAAAAAGATATAATTTTCAGTTGTTGCTTTCATAAAATAAATTGCAAAGAAAGTAATTTCAGCATTTTTGGACACGTTTAGTAAACATGCAAAATACTTCGCATTTCTGTAATATGTTTGGAACGTTTCCAAAACTCAATAATCACAACTACGAAACAAGTTTTCCGATACAAAACGCATTTCTCTACAAAATGAAGCATAGTACTAATATCGGCGCCAAAATTTAGTGTCCGCTGATATCTTTTGAATAACTTTTTAACCAAAAGAGCTAGCGATCTGCGATTTTCACCATTCGAAAGAGGACACCGGACCCGTACGTCTATGTAAAAACTAGAGCTTTCTATAGATTTTTCTAGGCTAAGTTTTTCGGGCGAAAATTCGGAAAATTAGCATATTTTCCGAAAACTTTCGTTTTTCTTTTTTCCGCCAGTTTTGTAGAGCTCGATGTTCGCTTTCGAATGGTATCTAAGCAACCCAAAAAAATTTTGCTTCCTTGCCGAGATACAAGCGTTGTAAAAATGGCTCACTTTTGCCGAAATTCGAGTTTTTAGTCGTAAAAAGTGTCAGTATACAGGTATTCGAGTGCACCGATCGTCGTGATAATATCACTTTTTTGTTTGGAGGCGATAAAGATGAGTTAACAGAGTTTTTTGAAAAAGTGAATTTTGTAAGTGAAAAAGGCAAAATATATTGAAAGTGTTTATAACCTAATTATTAGGTCATAAACGCTTTACCAGAAAACGGCCATGGATAAAATTTCAACTTTAATTATCTACAACAAAATATTGTTAAAATTGTTTATTATGCATTTATTTTGCTCTCTCCAGAAGTAACTCATCCCGATCGTCTTGTTAATCCATATCAGTTGTCAGCGAATGTGTAAAGTCGTAAGGTAAGGTTATAGTGCAACGCTCACTGAAAAACTCTGAATGTCTTTTGACTTTTTGGAAATCCTACGAGAAAAAACGGGTACTTACGATTCCGTCAACTTTTCATCTGGGCGGACTAGAATTTTCTCACAACCACACAGCAAAATATCTCATAGGTGAATTTTTGAAAGTCTCTTCCTCTTCAATTTATAGCGAAATTATGAAAAACTGAGCCGAAAACCAAAAATCATATAATTAAAAAGCAAGTAACTTAAAGAGGAAACGAAGTTTTCCAATCTGAGATAGAATATGGTGAAACTATGGTTAACATTTCAGCTCCGTGCAGGAAAATCCGATGCAGTGCAGTGCATGAACAAAAAAACATAGTAAAGGGCTGGCAGATTTTTATTTTAATAGAAAGACTCTGTTGTATATCTATCTACTAGAGTATTAAAAAATAGTTTTTAAGTTAGTTTTATAAATGAAAACTCGTAAAAAGTAGATTTTATCACATTTTTTAAATTAACATGGTAAGTTTTTAATTAAATTTTATTTCAAAAAGTGAAGTTATAGGAAGCTGAAACTGTCGTATTTAATAGAACACATTTGACTATATTAGGCAGCATGCTGAGTTAACTGTTGTTAACAATGAAGGTGAGTACGTCATTTTTTTGATATTTTAAAAAGCGAAACATTTAAACTTTGATATTAAAAGTCCATTAAGAAAGAGTGGATGTACCCTCCACACAATATATATATATATATATTGACCAGATTGTAGACGAGATGGAACTGTATATACCCTGAAATATTTTTGGCAAACGAAGTCGTTTCGACAGGGTTATGGCTTTCAAAAGTTGTGTACCTCAGCAGCACCTGTTAGTGTAAAATTTTGAAAAAATTTCAAAATAAAGATTTATGCGCGGGTTTTGAATAGATCGATACAGCACATTGAGTTATATATAGCCAGAAAGTTTTTCGATGATTGGAATGAGTACTCTCATCGAAAAAAGCTTTTTTCATTATATCGTAGTTTTGCTACTAAAAAGTACTTTTTAAACTTGCCTGCGAATACAATGCATAACAATAAAAGAGTGTCATGACAGAAAGATACGTCATAAAATTCTGCGTACTGTAAGCGCATGATAATTTTCATTTTGAAAAAAAACAATCCAAAAATAAATTTAGTTGTTGTACTTGCTCCAAAAGAGAAACGGACATACGATTTCTTACCACCTAAGACCGTGTTTGGTATATTTTTACTTTAGGATAAGTATACCATTCAATGTTTTATACTACTCAATAGAAAATTAAATAAGCTCCAAAACTGAACTTATGACAAAATGTTATGGCATAGGATACCTGAATTGACAAATAGTTTGGAAGACAGTACTGGACAAAATTATAGAAACGGTTTGTTTTTGATTTTTCTCCTCAACCATAAAAGGAAGAACAAATCTGAAAAAAGATTTGAATAGCCGAACGATTTCCCAATCTCATATGGTGTGTACAAAGGTTTCATCGAACTTTCTGAAACCAGATCTCTGAAAAACTAAAAGCTCCCTGAAACCTGACGTCCCTGAATGTCATCCAGAAATTCTTTGCAAATAACTCCAGCGTACAGAGCAAACATTTTTGCACTAAATGAGATGTTCCCGACTTTTCTATGACCTGTTTTCATGAAACAGCATCCAATTTGCAAAAGGTCACATACCGCCAAAATCAGCAATATTAACGGGAAAGCATGAAAGCTTCGCCCTCAGTGCCTTTCGTAAACTGAGTGCTATTTCATAAAAACATGTCGTAGAAAACTCGGCGATGTCTCATTTAGTGCAAAAATGTTTGCTCTGTACGATGGAATTATTTACAAAGAATTTCTCTCACGAATTCAGCGACTTGGTTTTTCAAAGATGCTAATTTGAGAAATTTATAAAGGCCATAACTCTGTCAAATCCACTCGTTTGCGAAAAACATTTCAGGGTGTATACAGTATCATCTGCTCTACAGTCTGATCAAAATATATATATTATGTCACATAATTTATATACCTCCGGGGGGTACACCTCCTTCTACTTAATGTATTTTTCACCGTAAACCTAACAGTATTCTCTTCTCTTCGACCCCTGTATAGAAAACAGGAGTCCAGTTGCTTCGGTTATGTCAGGGTTAAATCCTGAAATAGGGTTACATCTGAAACAGTAATCATATGAATATTTATTCGACTTAGTGATAAAACTGAAATCAATTATTGTAACTGTGAGCCAGAGATAAAATGATCTAATACACTCTGTTTTATGAAATAATTTGAACTTACTTGTAGTCGTTGATGTTATTAACGATGTTGTCGTTGAAGTCGTTGTACTTGTGGTTGTGATTGTACTTCCCGTTGTCACTGCAATACCAGTGGTCGTTAGAAGAGGATTTGGCGTTGTGGTCGATAAAGACTATTTGGAAGACAGAGATAAACAGTGGTCCAACGTTAAACATACATACCCTTGTCGTGACAGTTCCGACTGTAGCGGGCGTTGTTGTCGTCGTGGATGTGCTTGAGTGAGTTGAATCCCATATTGTAAAATTCCAGAAATCGGAGGCTACATGAGTAAGTTTAGCTGTATGTGATAAATATCAGTGTTTGATACTTACTTAGCTCTGGTTTAGATTCAGGTCCACAGAACTGAGTTCCACTCGATGCTCCCGAATCAAAAGTAATGTAATAAAGGCCACCTAGTCCAAATAAAAATCAGGTTTTCATACATACGTGAAACGATAATTCAATCAAACCACTATACCTGGTGTCCAATTTGCATTTTGCACAATGAATACAATTGTTTGGTTTGTATATAGTACATGAGAGTCATATCCACAATCAACCGCCCATACCGCGTTGACCGTATCATTTATGTTATAAATTTTAATATATGTCCCGTTCCGATTTGGCCGATTAACCGAAGCAGTTGCTTTTAAAAGGATTGTTATATGTTAAAGAGAGAAATATTTAGATTGATGATATACCTTGAATACTAAATACAGATTGATTTGAAAACACCACACCGATAGGAGATTGTGTACCTTGAATGTACGTGGATTGTATCAAATCTGGACTACCCAATCCAACAACATAATTGATGCAGTACTGAGGACCTGACAGACCCAGATTGTCAATTGGTGATGCACAAAATACTTGAGGACCTACATAGATGTTCGGAATATAGGCAACTTTAGTGATAGAATATGTTTGCATGTTACCATATTGATCAGCAGTAGGTGTCCATGTCATTGTTATATAATAACTGGTAGAAGCTGATGCACCTACTGGAGCTACCAGTGTTTTAGTCATATACATAGGTGTACTGGTTAAAAACTCAACTATCGAATTACCGGTACAGTAGACTTGAGCAATAACAGTTTCAGTCAATGTAACATTAATTGGAACACCTAAAACACATTCGCGTATCAAGTCAGAGAATGTCCACATTGCCTGGTCAGGAAAACAGGAGGATGACTTCACGTACAGATCCTGTTTCTTGTTTTTATTTCCATATCTTGGTTAGATACAAAACAGGCCCTGGTCTCGATTTTAGAGACTGATCCGGAAGAAAGCAGACCCTCATCAAGAAAACAGTGTCTGACCTTCTTTACCTACTGCCCAGGAAATGTGGACATTTCTATATGGGACTTATGTTGTTTTCCGCGTATAAGAAAATAGATTAATTATGTTGCGTTTTCTCGCACATACCAATACATGCTCGATTTGGACGTACACCGGTGATATTTGGCGCTATCGAACAAGCACCCGTTGGTCGTGGATAAGCAAGAATCAATATTTGTAATGGTACTGAACTCATTGCTGTAGTACTAGCGTTGTTGACGAAGTCCTCTACCATAATAGCCGCCACAAAGGTTGATGTCGTTAAATGGTTTGCTATATCAGCTGGTTTCAATGCGGCCGTCCACGTTAAAGTAAAGATACATTTCCTTATTATGGCATAACAAATTTGTAATTTTTTGATATTACATCTAGTGCGTCTCACGATGAATCACTTGAATAATTTACATAAGTATGCATAATAAACAAACAACTCATCAGTCGGACGCTGACAATGATGCTGACGAAAATGAGCTTGTTACAGTAGTTGAGATATTTTGACATATACTAGCACATTCATTTACGACAGCATTCGTCGCCCATCTGCATCTCAGTACATTTCCCGTGTCCCAGTCAGCTATCGGTATTTGTACTATGCATACGTCACCGACTATACAACGTATTAAGGGTAACGAACCCGTGACTGAAAGAAAATTTATGTGAGATAAAAAAATAACGCATGAAATATTTACCTGGAGATGTATTAATTGGTCTTTGAGTCAGGTCAATGTGAGTCATCACAGACCAATCCGTTGCGAGGATTTCATCTGCCCAATTACCAGCTGCATATGCTATATATATGTTGGTTGTATTCGCTAGACTGACTTTTTTATAAGTGGCGCCGCTACTGATTGCTAATATCACATTATAATCAGTACACAATAGCCCTTGATTTAAACCTACAGAATTGTAAAGACTGTTTACACAAGTCGATGGGCTGATGGTAGTACTACAATTAACTGGGATAGTTGATGCCGATGAGCAACTACCCCCATCACAGTAATAACCTTGTGACGCGATTAATGCTTGATCACATGCAAAACGTACCGTTGTTGCTGTTGTTGTTGTAAATGAATGTCGTTCACTAATCATTATGTCGATTGTGGGACCTAATGGTGCCGATGAGTTGATTATTTTCCATGTTATAGTACCACCTTTATAATGCGTAGATTCAATGAGGAATATGATAGAAAAAAATATCAGATAAGAATACATAATCTAGAAGAAATGGAAGGAGACGAAAGATGAATAAGTTTAAAGTTTAGATGGAAAATGAACTTGCCAAATGCATGCCGAAAGAAAGATGAGAAGATGAATAGATGATCATAGTCAGTTTTCCATTCAGTTACACTTCAACGATCTCCGTTCTTTGCTTATAAACTCTTTAGTTACAGCATGTATTGATTGATTAGTGAACCAAGATATCCAATATAGAAATGTATATTTTCGATGATATTACACGTTTTTCTCAACACTGCACTTAAACTAAGCACAGCTTATGAATTTTATTATATGTTTTACACGTACTTGTAACAGTGTCAATTCAACTAATACATTTGTTGCTATAGACTTTATTGAAAAGAGAAAGATCAGTACAATAGTGAGGAGAAGAAGGCGAAACCATTGTATTTTAAACTTGTTTTTGTTTATGCAGTTCGGTCGCACTTTCGCTTATACATTCAGCCTTGAATTAGAGAGATTAAACACAGAAAACGATGGATTGTTTGTTCAAAATTATTTTTTTTCAAGTATTTGTTTTATTTTACTTAACGTTTGATGTTTTTCTTTTTAATTTCGAAAATTAAACGTCGAGTGGTCGCTGCAAGAAAAAGAAAAAAAGTTGAAAACTAAGTTTTCGTGCTCTGGATATTGTTTTTTGATTTCATGTCTAAATGCTAGTTTTTCCGATTCCAATCAAATTAAATTTATTATTTCGGAAGGGTGTCGTCTGTATTTCTCTAATTTGCATGCTAACAATCTTTTCACTCTCTGAGAGCGAGTGAGAAAACAATCAGCATTCATAGCTGAAATGCTTTACGTCCAGAGCTGATCACCTGCATCTTAAACTGCAGCAGTGCAGGCACGGCAGACCTGGTAAGAGGTAAACGGTAGTGCAGGCAGGTTGCAGTTTGCAGGTGAATGAAAAAATTTTCCACTGACGACCGGCAGTATTTTCCTTCCTGCACTTCCTGCAGGAGAGAAGATTTCACCTCATTCACTGCAGGGAAAGACGTTTTTGTGTGGAGAACAAAAAGAGAGGAGACCAAGAGAAATATTGATCACAATGAAGGTCAGAATGATCTCTTAACTAAAAGAAACTAACTAACAGTTATTTTGTATCGCTACTAGACATTTTGTGATGAGGGAGAGAAACGTTCTATCCGTAATCACTAATATCATTTGATATTGTCATTTTCCTCTAATATAATGGCCTAGACCGCATCTGTGTAGACTATTCGTATTTCTTCAATGAATAAAGTTTAAACTAAACTGAAAGGAAAATATAGAATAAAGAAAAACAATTAATTTCGCTCTTATTGTATGTAATAGAGCCTTAGCGTATAGCAAATCTTTTTTATTCGCATACAGGAATACAACTGTGACATTAGGTAGCCTATGTGGAAGGAAAGAAAAGGATTTTTTTCTCGCATTTTCTTCGTGTCCTATTGAAATGACGTATGAGAAACTTTTGTTTTCACTCATACAAAATAAAATATTTTTACTGATCGTTGTGCAATTTCTTCTGGATTAGAGAAATAAAGCGGGATGTGGAATGTGATTCTGTAGAAAAGGATTTTTCATTGCATCAGACAATCCCTTCATGCGTGTGGCGGTGCTTTGTGGATTCAGTTCAGTCTTTAGAAAAAAAGAATATTCATTCCGTTTGGAATGAATATACCGTGACCACAAGTACGTGTAAAACATATAATAAAATTCATAAGCTGTGCTTAGTTTAAGTGCAGTGTTGAGAAAAACGTGTAATATCATCGAAAATATACATTTCTATATTGGATATCTTGGTTCACTAATCAGTCAATACATGCTGTAACTAAAGAGTGTGTGTTGATTTTTAAAGCTTTTATACCGCATATACACTCTAAAAAAACGTGTTCTTCGTGTTTTCAGAGAACGAGTTGAAGATTTCATTTAAGTACTTTGCAATATGAAGAACTTAGTTTCTATTTTTCAATAAAAAATGAGTTTTGCACATTTCAGTTTTTCGGCTCATTTTAGTTTTTCTGAAATTTTGTTTTTCAAGATTTGGAAAACACAATATTTCTTTTGAGTTCTCTGCAGATATCGAAGTTGAAAAAGGAAATGAAAATCACATATTTCAATCACCGCTTTTGTTTTGCGATTCATAATATATATAAAGGATTTGATCTTTTCTTATAGAAGCTTAAACTTATTCTCTAAAAATTCTGTTTATGTACAACAACGTGCACACTTCGAGAACATGTTTGTTCTTGACAACAGAGTTCTAAAATTCGACCCGAACCCAACGAATCGAGTATCTACGATGTTTAAAATCTTGGAAGAATAATTCTACATATGATCACAGATATTGTATTGATTAAAAAACGTTGGCTGGTGAAAAGAGCAATTAAGATCCAGATTTTTGAAAAGTCGAAGAACAGAAATGTGTTTTTCGACTTGATGTTTTCTGGAAAACAAATGTCCCAAATAGGGATCTAAAAAATGAAAGACTCAATTTCTGTTCTTGCGGAAAATTAAAAAATCAGTTTTGCAAATTTCCAGAAAACTCACATCAGATCCCTTTTTGAGACCAATGGAAAACACAGTTTCAGTTTCCTGAAGAAGTCTCCTTTTTTAGAGTTTAATATTAAGCAGATAAAACAGCAAATAGAATCAGGAAAAATTAAGAGTTAGTTTAGCTCCGATTCTGAAGAGAACACTTTGGACTATCTATCTATAAAAAACCTGATAGATTTTTATCTCAAAGTCACTCAAAACTCAACTAAATCCAGCTAACTTCTAATACGTATCAAATTCAGCTGTTTTCCCCTTGGCATTGCGTTACCTATGCGAAAAATCATCGAAAGATGAAGTAGTATGAATTTAATGATTTCAACTTATAATGAAAGCGAATGCAGAGATGGACGGATATCCGAAGTAGGAATGTCTTTTAATAGTTAACTAAGTCAGGAAAAGAAGTGGTGGGCGCGATACTGAGAGTGAGCGAAAAAATAACATTGAATCGCGAAGTCGAATAAGGATAAGAAGCATAAAACTTGGAAAACTGACAAAAGCCACAAAAGTCATACAAGCATAAAAGTCATCAAAGCAACTATTAAAAGATATTCCTACTTCCAATGTTCGTTCATCTCTAAAAAAGTAAGATATTCCGGATTTTTGAGGGCTGGGCGGACATCCGATTTAAGAATATCCGCAAAATATGTTATAAAAAAAATTTGTTACATAACGCGCTTTTTCAGCGTTTCTGTTCTTCTGTCTTTGATGCTTTTGCAGCTTTTATCCTTTTATAGCTTTTCTGCCCTTTTCCCTTTTGCCCTTTTATGACTTTTAAGCTCTTAACCTTTTACTCGTGTATGCCCTTTATGCTTTTCTGGCTTTTATACTTTCACAGCTTTTATCCTTTTCCGACATTTATGCTCATCTGACGTTTATGCTTTTATACTTTTATACTTCTACAGCTTTTACATTCTTCTGACTTCTATGCTTTTCTGACTTTCAAACTTTTGTGCTTTTATGACTTTTATACTTTTACAGCCTTTATCCTTTTCCGACATTTATGCTTTTCTGGCGTTTGTGCTTTTATAGCTTTTATGCTTTTATACTTTCCTTACTTTTACGCTTTTCTGACTTTTAAAGTTTTGTGCTTTTCTGGCGTTTGTACTTTTATGCTTTTCTGGCGTTTGTACTTTTATACATTTAAACATTATGCTTTTATGCTTTTACACTTCTATGACTTTTATACATTTAAACATTATGCTTTTATCCTTTTATAGCTTTTATACTTTTATGACTTTTAAACTCGCATGACTTTTATGCTTTTCTGACGTTTGTGCTTTTATGACTTTTATACATTTAAAGATTATGCTTTAACGCTTTCATTTTTGTTTAGCTTTTACACTTTTCTGACTTTTACGCTTTTCTGACTTTTATACTTTGTTGACCTTAAAAAGTTTTGTGCTTTTCTGACTTATATGCATCTCGAGCTTTTATGCTTTTCCGACTTTTATGCTTTTCGGACGTTTGTGCTTTTATGACTTTTATGCATCTCCAGCTTTTATGCTTCTCCGACTTTTATACTTTTATGACTTTTATACTTTTCTGACTTTCAAAGTTTTCTGCTTTTCTGACGTTTGTGCTTTTCTGACTTTTATACATTTATGCTCGTATGACTTTTATACTTTTCTGACTTTCAAAGTTTTGTGCTTTTCTGACGTTTGTGCTTTTCTGACTTATATGCATCTCCAGCTTTTATGCTTTTCCGACTTTTATGCTTTTCTGACGTTTGTGCTTTTATGACTTTTATACATTCACACATCTATGCTTTTATAGCTTTTATACTTTTATACTTTTATGCTTTGATACTTTTATACTTTTACAGCTTTTATACTTTTCTGACTTTTAAAGTTTTGCGCTTTTCTAAGGTTTGTGCTTTTATGACTTTCATACATTTATGCTTGTATGATTTTTATACATTTAAACATTATGCTTTTATCCTTTTATAGCTTTTATACTTTTCTGACTTTTAAAGTTTTGTGCTTTTCTGAGTTTTATACTTTTATGACTGTTATGCATTTAAACATTTATGCTTTTGTGACTCTTAAACTTTTATGCTCGTATGATTTTTATACTTTTATGGGTTTTATAGCGTTATGACGAGTTATGTTTGGAGGTCTGGTTTTGAAAATGTCTGAAAGACTGGTTTTCCGTGAGATCTGTCGAAAACCTTGGAGGTTTTGCTGAAAGCAAAGTAGGAATATATTTGAGATAGACAAGTAGTCCGAAGTGTTTTCTGGGAAATGAGATCCAAGCGACCTTTTGGTTTTGCTTGGTTTTTCAGATGACACGGTTTTTCGCGAAGCACTAGGATTGGACTT